GACCATCTTCTTTTCTTGCGTCGGATGCAAGAGCTTCTTGTCAAGGCACGCGACCAGATGGCTAAGACGCAGCAGCGCATGAGCCAGCAGGCAAATCGCCAGCGTCTCCCTTGTCCATTCCGCGCCAGGGACCTCGTCTGGGTTTCCGCCGCGGAATTCAGCCTTGAACAAGACATCTCTCGCAAGCTCCTTCCGAAATGGATGGGACCTTGGCCGATCATAGAGCCCGCTGGGACACACCCGAAGGACCTTCCTTCACGATTCAGGTGCCTAGCCACTTGCCCGTCTACCCAGTCTTTCATTGCTCCAAATTGGCTCTCTACACGCCTGCGGAGCATGACGATTTTCCCGGGAGACGTACACAGGACCCTCCTTCCATGGATGGCTTTCAGGAGGTCGGCGACATCATCTCCCAGCGACGCTTTGGCAACAAGCCAACTGAGTATTTGGTGCATTTTGCATACTGCACCCACCGAGCTGACCGTTGGTTAACCCGTGCGGAACTTCAAGCGACAGCTCCAGACGTTCTCGCACGCTATGAGCGCAAGATGCAAGGCAAGCCGGTTTCCTCGGCTCCCCGCCGCGCCCGCGTCTAGGTTCCACCTTCAGATCGACGGCTTCGCCCTCGCCCCAGCTTGACTTCATAAGGAGGGGGGGGTGTTACATGCTGCACATGCACACACGAGCCATTTTGCAGGCCCGACGTCGTTCAGGCCAAAAAAACCTGAATTTCGGGCTTTAAGCCTGATATCCAAGGCTTACAGGCCCCGCCGACGGTTCAGCCTGACAGCCCGAGAAAGGACCTACAGGCTCCAGCCTGTTTCCCTACAGGGAAACTTCCAGGTTCTTGCCTGGAAGCTTCCGCAGGGTCTAGGCCAGGGAGGCATTGGCAAGAGCGGCCTCCTGCGCATAGGGCATTGGCACGACCAGCCTCCTGCATGGGCCAGCACTATAAAGGACTGGCCCACCCTACAGGAGGGAGGCAGTCGGCAGTTGTAGTCTTCAGGATTCGGGAGCAGCCCTCTGGAGGGAGCGCTGCGTTATAGTAGTGGTAGCGTTAGCTAGTAGCCTTCGGCGCTGGGCGCCATAGCTAGGATAGTGGTAGAGAGAGAGAGAGAGCTTGGGCGGAGGCCAGGGGTACCTACCTGCAGCGCCGTTGCTCCAGCTTCGTCTTCAAGGTACCTGCAGCACAGCGCCACATCACAGGTTAGTATCTGGTTCGTAACAGTGAGAGAGAGAGTTCTTCTTCCTCTTCTTCTCAGTCCACCATCTCCTTCTCTCCCTCTCAATCCTTGACTTCACTGCATTTGCAGACTGCGAGAGAAGAGATACCGAGCTTGGTGATATCGGATCCAAGACTCGACTTTTTGGGATTCAGACATGGCAACGAGGGGTTATTTGGGATCGGTGACAAAGACTTGGTGTTAACGACACTCCCATCTTCCTCCCTCCTTTCGTCTGATCCTTACCTCTTCGTYTATGCATGTCTGGACCTGGCGCTTTCTTCCTGTGTGCAGCGCCAGGCTCCTTCACTCCTGGTGAGGGGTACGATGCATGTTTGGTCTGAGTTCAACCATCGGTTGGACTAGTTATCAACATTCTAGCAGTCTGTTTCGCTACTTGCTACTACGTGTGTAAGGTCAGTCCTTGTCAGGTCAGTCTTTGTATCTAAGTCTTCCCTGCGCTATTCAGCACTTTTGTATRTATGAGAATGCACATTGTCTGTCGAGATTCTACTCTCACCGCATTGTCCATTTCAGTCCTTTTCGTCACATTGCAGTTCCTCGGTTATTACAAACATCACATATCTGTGCATGTAACACCCGCTCTAATGGCACCCTCCTTCTATGCAAGTTTTGCTAAGAAAGAGGGTGCCACTGTCATACATATACAGTAAGAGTTGTATTCAATGGTTCAACTGGATAGCTCATTGGTTGATCATTGCCTACAAGTACAAGCCAAATCACTCGAATGCACAAAATTGCCCACTCCAGGGGTCGAACCTACGACCTGCTGATCTCAAATCAGAAATACCGAAAAGCAAAGCGAGCTGGGATCAACTGGATAGCTTAGGAACTTTTCTTCGAACTCTTTCAGCGAACTTTTTCATCCGACTTTTTTCATCTGAAAGCTATCCAGGAAGGATTCGCCAGGAGGGTGAACATTCAACTAGGGAGGAGGAGGGGGTTTTTTCAGCCCTGCCGCTGGGCGCCCGAACTATGTGACCATCTAGTCCCCTTCTTCCTGCAGTTGCAGCCTTCACTGTGCCTATCTCTCCCTCATTGTAGTCCATACCACTGGAGCTCAGTCAATCCCCTGTCTTGAGGGTAATCAATGCTGGCAGGTCAGAAGACAGTCAGAAACAACTCAGTGCGATTGAAATGGTTTTTGTGTAAGGGACACTGGACCCGATTTCCAGCAGGTGTTGCTCCCCACCAATAGACGGAGCCTTCCCAGGGGAGACAGAAGTGTCTGCTCGTACCAGCACCCCTAGCTCCCATATGGGCAGTTTCCCAAAAAAGAAAAAAGAAAAAAAAAAGGAAGGATTCGCCAGGAATACATGGCTTGCAGCAGAGCTCCCAAGCCATCAAAACAGGTGACTTGGATCCTCAATTTGCTGGCCATTTCCACATCTGATAAGGGCAAAATGCGTATTCATATCGACATACTATTTTCATTTCCTGTGACCATGTCTATTCCGTGAGTGTAGCCATGAGTATGCAGACACTGAACTCTGTTCCTTTCCAGGGTGATGGTAGCTACTTCCGTCCATCTGTATGACCTCCTTGCTACCTGCGATGTTCAGTCCGGTGAGTGAGAGTGCTTATTTTCATTCTGCCATTGCAGTGCGTTGGTGTCTCTGTCCCACTTTGGTGCTTCTTGGTTCTGAGCCATGCCCATCTACGGATGGGCATGCGACATTGTAAGGCCTCTTGAGTTCAACATAGACCATTGGTTTGCGGTTTCTGTTTCCTCATGCTGTACGTTGTGATTTAATTTTTGCAGCCCTTTCAAATGGGAGGAGGATTAGTGTGTAGCCTGCATTGCATACAACCACATTGACCAGCTGTGGTTTGAATAAGGCACGGGAGTGGCAAGCATCATCAATAACGACAACTGCGACGGCAAGGACAACAACGAAGAAGAAGAAGAAGAAGAAGAGGAAGCAGGAAAGGAGGAGGAGGAGGAGGAGGAAAAGGAGGACGAGGTGGAGGAGGAAAAGGTTGGTGACAACAACGACAACAGCGAAGAAGAAGAAGAAGAAGAAGAAGGAGAGGAGGAGGAGGAGAAGGAGGAGAAGGAGGAGGAGGAAAAGGAGGACGAGGTGGAGGAGAAGGTTGGAGGATGATGAATGTTGTGGTACCCAGCTACTCGATATCACTGAGAAATGTACCGCCAGACATCTCTGCTCGGGGTTTGTATAGTTTCATTCGGGATGTCACGGAGAATAAGACGACAATTCTTCGGTGCAAGATAAAGACAGAACCATATGAATTTACACAGGCTTGTGAGCGGACGGCATTTGTTGATTTCGTGTCAAGAGATGGCGCTTTGCTGCTTCTAGAGAAAGCTGCCAGTCGAGAGGGTCTCTGGCTTGAAGGCTGCCAATTGAAGGCCAGAAAAGATGACATCAGCCAGGCAGTCAGGGTTCCACATCCTCGAGTTCCTCCAATCGATATGCGAAGATGCAGCCTGTCGATTGGGATGTGCTATAATAAGGACACAGTACTGGAGAGCTGGTCATTCAAAGAGCGACCGGGTGTGCGTGTGAAGTTCGACTTCCCGCAGAGGAAGATCCGCTTTTTCATTGGACGGCACACACCGCCTGGTGGAGATCAGAGGATACAGGCAGGAGGAGGAGGAGGAGGAGGAGGAGGAGGAGGAAGATCTTCCACCAGGGCGAAGGAATGGGATTACAGTGGTGACCAATGGTCGGGCAAGGAGCCTCAGTGGGTGCTCATGCAGCAGATATGGGAATATGATTCTCAGAGTCATGTCAGAGGAACTGGGGCCAAGAAGGCAACAGTTGCAGGAGATAGGCTATGGAGATCTGAACCAGAGGAGAGGACTTACGATTCCAAGATGGAGTATCAGCTGGAATTCATGACGCAAGACCTCACTCGAGCAGACTTCAACTATGGAGGGTATGATCCGCGAGCGAAGGCATGGATGTTGCTGCATTTTCATTGCCCACCACGAATTTACTACCGGACGGCGGACGTACAAGTGTTCACACCCCCGGACCGTCCAAAGTACTCTTTCGATGACGAGGATGACCCGTGGGTGCGAACCTGTGATTTCACACCAGATACCAGCATCGGTCGGAGCAGGGTCTACAGAATCCAGGTTGGCAAGGAGGGAGAAGGTCAGTTTCAACTCGTCAGGGAGGAAATTGAGGTAGGTGGTGTAGTCTGAAGACTCTCCAAGGAATGACCATTCACTTACGTGCCTGATTGGGAGAGAATCTGCAGCTGATGCTGACCAAAAATGGATGGCGCAAATAGTGCCAAATACCCTTCAAATACTGCTGCTTTTCTCTCCCTTTTTTTTTTTTAAAGGCACACACACAGACTTTGCCCCATCTATTCTGGGCGTGACAGTCCGGTTACTCGTCACCGGCAAGCAAGACTCAGAAAGAAGAGAAAACAAAACAACAAAGCGAGTCAGACTTTATCAGGTTTTTTTTTTTTTTTTTTCAATTTGAAAAAAGGAAATGTTTGGTATGAAACCAGTCTCGTTGAGAAGACATTCAGTTATGCAATAGAAGTCTTAACCCAGCGCGTGTCATGACGTCTCCAACATCAACTACATGTCCATGCCTTGATCATATGCACAATTCAAGAGTATCGTCTCATTAAAGAGGAACATGAGAGGAGAGAAAGAGGAGAGAAAAGACAAAGGAGAGGAGGACGAGAGTCATAATGATAATCAATAGTACATGTATGTCTATCTGTCTCTCCACTTCGGGCGTCTCCCGTATCGCCACCTCAGCGATGTATGTCCCTCTGACGTACTCTGACATAATCACTGTGCATATCATTACATGGCGCCCTTCCTCCCCAGCATTCCTCCAGCCTCACGATACAGCACTAGCACCAAGCCAGCGCACGGAATAATGCCTTCCCCAGCATCTGGCTGTCCTTTCGTAGCATTCACCAGTGTTGACTGGCGTGGACCAGTCTCCCCTTGACAGTGTCAACGCTCCAGATTTGCCCGATCTCAACGGCCTGTATACAGCCTTGAAGCAGCGGTACCTTTTCCAAATCGGGACTGGAACCGTCCAGATGCCTGCAGACAACCATTGATGTGCATCTGATCTATGGTCGAGGCTGACTACCGGGTTGACTTTGACTTTGGGCCTGCTTTTCCCGTGGGTGTGTCTCTTGATTTTCCAAGAGTCGACTACCTCACGGGGGGCCTCTGGCTGCTGTTTCTGACTCAGCCCCGGGTACCCCTTGACCCTACCCGTAGGACCTTTCCCAGGCAATTCGCAGACATGGGGCGTGACTTTTGACCCCTGTTGCAGCCTTTGACCAAAAGTTATGGCCCATGCCCACGGCAATGTGGATCTGAATTGAGTTTATTGCATTCCATCCGTCCTGATATCCAGTTCCACCACAGAAATTCATCCCTTCAGGAATGGTTTTCTCTTAACCTATGTTCATATCCAGCGATTATATCAGGCGCAGTTGGTAGAAGTTCTCTGTTGGTGAACAATGTTGCTTCTGACTCTTTTGATTACCAAACTTTCACCTTATATTGCTTTTGTGGTCTTTCTCTTCCACCGGTAGACAAGAAGCCATGTTCAAGGATCTTTTCAACTTGATAACCGCCATCCATTGAAGGTGGGAACATCGAGGGTATGTTGGGAAAGTCTTGGCCGTCAATGTAGGGTAGCAGTTTAGATCCGTGGAAAATGAGATAAGTCTTGAGATGAGGGAGCACATCTATCCTATAGGATGGTCCATCTATGTCCCCTATAACTTAAAGAACTTCCAATGGCCCGTAGTCGGTAGGTAGCACTTTTTGCGAGATTCCTTCTTCGCGTGTAAATTCATTAGACTTGACCCACACCAGATCTCCGTTTTTGAATCGATCTGGCCTGCGGTGTTTGTTAGCTTGCTCAATCATCTGATGTTGAGCTTTTCTAATGTTTTCTTCAACTCTTTCAATGTCTTGTTTGTACAAAACTGCAAATTCACGGGTACTGGGAGGCAACCTTTGGATCTGGTCCCTCGTCAGAGAGTCAATAGGTCTCATAGGTTGCCATGCCAGCATTTATGCAGTGCATTCGGTGTACGACCGACCAATGACGGAATGGACATCCCTGTACCCTTAAAAGATATAGCGGTCCCACTGACAGACGCCACCGCGGGCTCACGAGAAACCGTGGCAGGGGCCCGTTGTCGGGTGTGCCAGGGAGGGACAGGACCAATGCGGGCGCAAAAAGCAAGCGCCGCGTGAAAAGACAAGCGAGGGGAGTCACGAGCCAAGGCGAAACGACGTGGCGGAGTCGCGTGTTTAGACGAAATGACGCGGGGCCGCGTCGGAAAAGGGCAATGAGGGGAGAAAGGCGAGAGAGGGCAGAGGGAAGAGGCAGCACGGGGCTGTGCGGCGGGCCTGGAGGGTCCGGGCCAGCTTCGAACCACGCAGACTGCCAGCGGGTGAGGGGGCGAAGCG